AAGCACTGACTTGATGATGTATTTTGTGACATAGCAAGTTGTGTTTACTGCTTTTGCCTAGAAATTCATTGCATGTCTTGAGTCAGTGAGCATGGTTCTGGCAATGTCCACCAAGGTCCTATTCTTCCTTTCTACAACCCCATTTTTTAGGGGTTCTGGGAGTAGAAAAGTTGTGATGAATCTCATGGTCAGTACAAATGCCTTCGATTTGGGCATTTTCAACTCTGTACCATGATCTGATCTGATGCTTGCAATCTTGTAATTTACCTTCAGCTGAATTGCCTTTGCAAAAATGATTAGTACCCCAACTGTCTCCTCTTTAGTTCGCAAAAACATGTTCCAGGTGAATCTGGTGAAGTCATCAACGATCACCAAGATATACTTTTTCCCTCCTCTGCTCTGAACTCTTATAGGTCCACACAAGTCCATGTGGAGAAGCACTAGTGGTCTAGTTGTATTGACACCTTTCTTTAGTTTGAAGGATGATCTCATTTTCTTCCCCCTCACACAGGCGTCATAGACTTTGTTGTCGGAGAACTTCAACTTAGGCATTCCATGGACCAAGTCCCCTGCAACTAGTTTGTTCATCAAGGATGGGCTCACTTCTCCAGTCATCTGTGCCACAGATTTTCATTGTTAGATTGAGCACTCACACAGGTGAGACTATCCCCTTCTATGGAGTTAAGATCTGCAACATACATTTTTTTAACCTTTCTGACAGACGTAACAACTTTGTTAGTAACACAATTGTAACTATGCATCAATCTGACACAAATTTCACTTCATTTCCTTTATCACAAATTTGAGACACACTCAATAAGGTGTACTTCAAACCATTCACATAGTGTACATTATCTATGGAATGTTCCACTGATCTTCCAATTTTCCTAACACCAAGAATGAATCCCTTTTTAGCATCTCCAAATGACACACCACCACCTTGGTGTGCTTCCAAAGAGAGGAAGTTTTGAGTGTCTCCAATCATATGATTCGAGTAACCACTGTCTATCTACCAACATTGACTGCTTCCTATCTTCTGCAAAAGAATTACTTGTTAGATTTAGGAACCCACTTGAGATGGAGTTCCCAAAAGCTATCAAAAGGTTTGATGATAAACCTTCTAGTCCAAGGGGGCAACATGTTCTTGCTAAAGGGATTCCTAGGACCAGGTACCTTCCCTTTTAATTATTTAAAGGAGTTCTCTTGATTTTCGTTTATCCTTTTCAGATACTCACAATTTCTTTTCAAGTGACCATTTCTTCCACAGTGGGTGCACAACAGATTATCAGAGACTGACACATACTTGCTATGAGGGTTGTAGGAAGGTTCTATCTTTCTACACCCTAGGCCATTTCTGATGTTGAATTTCTAATTTGCTAAGTTTGAAAGAATCTTAGATGAGTCAATCCATTTCAATGAGTGACTTAACTCTTCTTTGACTTGACTTAGGTCCTTTACTAGTTGTGAATTTCTCTCAAGAGAGGCAGCTGGATTGGACTCGGATACTTTCAGACTTTCGAGTAAATCAAGCTCTAAACTACTGAGTTTTGTTTTTCCACTCTCAGAGGTACTAGTTTCCTCTTCAAGTTGACAACTCTCAGTCTCCAGAATACTCACCCTAACACTCATTTCATACATTTGAGAAATAAGGGCAGTTTTTTCATCTTCACATAGACTCAGTTTTTCACTCAACATTATATTTTCATTTGTTATTTCATGTACAAAGTCAATCAGCACAACGACAAGTTTTCTCAGTCTCTTAATTGACAAAGTGTCTAAATCACTTTTGAGATCAAACAGAGTTAACTCATCCTTGTCTTCTTCATCATCAGATTTTGCCATCAATGAGAACATGGCGTTGAAGACACTTTCATTATCATTGATGACCATTATCGAGACATCTATATGATTTCCTTCCTCCTCAGAGTCGCTAGAGGCTTTTCCCCATACTGCAAAGGCTTTCTTCACAACTTGATCTGCATTGGCCTTTATTTTAGCATAGTTAGGGGCTTGGTCCCTCTGCCGTGGTTTTAAGTCCTGAACTTCATGCTTTTGGCTCTGACAATCTCTCATGAAGTGTCCAGACTTTCAAAATTTATGGCAGAGGTCATTAACATTTGTCGTTCTGGTGGTAGTCCCCTTCTTCTGAAATCCTCCATGTTTTTTGACTATCTTCTAGAATCTTCTAGTTATATAAGTCATCTCATCCTCATCTTTAGACCCATCATTTTGGTAGATCTTTAGTGCCACTGATTTCTCCTTCTTTTCTTCCTTCACAGATGAACCCTGCTACCTGTTTAGCTCATAGGTTTGCAGGTTTCCGATCAGATCATCCATGGTGAGAACCTTTAGATCTATGGCCTCGGTGATGGCACTCACTTTGTTTTCCCATGACTTCGGATGGTCTCTAAGAATTTTTCGAACTTGTTTTCTTGGGTGAATGGGCTCACCAAGACATCTTAGTTCGTTTGTGATGGAGGTAAACCATGTATGCATCTCATGGTTGGTTTCTCCTTCCTTTATGCTAAAATTCTCATATTGAGTCGTCAACATGTCTACCTTTGACTCCTGGACCTGAGTTGTTCCTTCATGGGTTGTTTTGAGGCAGTCCTAGATTTCTTTTGCAGTTTCACAGGCAGAAATCCTCTTGTATTCATCTAGACCAATCCCACAGACTAGCAGCTTCTTGGCCTTGTAGTTTTTTTTCAATTTTCTTCCTGTCTGCTTCATCGTATTCCCTTCTGGTCTTTGGAATTACTCTAGTCAGCTCTTCTTCCTTCATATCCTTGGTGGAAAGTAGGGTCTATCAAGTAATACATCCTACAACTTAGTGTCTTCTGCCATGATGTAATCATGCATCCGCGTCTTTCACCATCCATTGTATTGTTTGTTGCATCGAGGAGGACGAGTGGTGGATTGACCTTCTTCCAGGTTTGGTGGAGCGGTCATTCCTTCAAGATCTTTCTTCTCTTGGTGTTAAGCAGATAGAGAAGTCAGCGCTCTGATACCAATTGATGGAATGTATGCGTCCACTAACAATCATAGGACCAGGTCCTTAGTACAGTTTAAGTGTTGAAATTAAATAACTGCAAGTAAATAAAGACACACAATTTAATGTGGAAACCTCCTTACTCAAGGGAGTAAAACCACGACCTGTCACAAAGGATTTTCAATTGTTTTCACTAATCACCAAACAAAAGTGAAACACAAACTTCAACTTACAACAATGAGATTAACCTCCTAATCTCAACCTAAGTAATATCCCTATTACTTAAACGAGCCAAAGCAATGCCCTCATTGCCCACTATATTAACTATATCTAATCAATATAGACTTTTATTCGTAAGACACAAAGTTACTCCTAACTATGCTCTTACACGACTCATACAAAGTTTTGAAACGTTTCTAACAAGAGTGAAACGAATCCTACAAGATAAGCACAAATACAAGCAATCAAAACATCAGCAGGTTCAGAAAGCAATTCTTCAGTCGATCAGGTCCCTTGTTGTTTTGTATGAAGCTTGATTTTTCTATCTTTGAATGAATGAGTAGTTAGTTGTTTGTCATTTTGATTATATCAATCCACAAAGAATTATTGACCATTTGACAAACAACCTCATCCGTTCCTATTGGTTAAGTACGCTGGCGACTTCACCAACCAGTGATAAGACAACTTTTCCAGCTGTACAACATATTGCCCTGGACGAGAACACTCTGTAGAGGATCGAGTCCTTGCATTTGTGAGGATCATCAAAACATCTGAAAACTTATCATGCATTTTTAGAAATGCATCCTTCAATCTCTTTCCCAATAAGTCTTTCATCCTTATCCGTACCCTTAACTTATGGATCTTCATCAGCATTCTCATCGGTAATATAAGGGAATTCAACATTCCCTTCAATTTTCACCGTACTATTAACGTCAACTTCCTTCACTTCCCCTTCCCAAGAGAAAACCAAATTCATTCTTACCCCAAAATAATTCTGTATATTCATAGAAGCTTCTCCTTCGAGATTTTTCATGCGGATTTTGAGGTTTTCTTCATCATCAATTAGGGTTTTGTTGACTAAAAGGTTATAGTCAGTTTCAACACTATTCAAAGCAGTCAGTTTCAAGCTAGTGCCAATTGTGAACATCGGTGCCATCAGGTCGATCTTCTAATATGATACATCGTTTGTCTCCTTCTCTACTATGATCCGTTCTATGGCGGCGGTGAGGTAGAGTACAACGTCAACAATATGAGCACGTGAGAGAGGAATTGATTCTGTGTTGCGAGAGTACGTGATGGACCAATGGAACACAGCGAGAGAAAAAAGAAAGGGATCGAGAAAGATTAGAGAGATGATTTTGGGGATCTAATTTGATATGAATTCATTTGGTTTAATGGGTGGGGTTCGGATTAAAAGTGGAAATCAGTTTATTTTAATTGAAATTGAGTAATTTTAATTGATTTGGGGGCTTTCATTCAATTGAGGGGTATGAGTGACAAATTTGTAGACGGTGAGTGTATAAATGACTACATATATAATGAATGGTAAAACTAATAATTAATCAAAAGTTGAGGGGTAATTAATCTAAAAACCAAATGTTACCTTAATTTGGGGTTGATTCTTTGCCACAAATCACTTTTTTGATATATATTCTTGGGAATATCGAAGAAAGTAGAAATGTTTTTTCACTGCAATATACAATGAAATTTGAAAGACATGAAAAGGGAGAAAATTGGGCAAGCTTTCCGGCTATGGCTTAGTAGGGGAATGAGAAAGTTTTTGGATTTATTTTTTAGTGGGACTCAGGGTTAAACTTAACAGAAAATTTTGATGAATTGTTACTTTTAGGGCAAAAGATCAAATTGAATACTTTTTATAATACATTAGGAACTATATGAATCATGCAAAATATATTAAGGATCAAAATAAAGCTACCTCATACATTAAGGACCGTTTTGATCATTTTCTCTAATTATTAAAGTGTTGGGCGTTGGAGGGTCATAGAAATAGAAGGTGCAATTAGAAAAAGTTAGAAGTTGGAAGGTGATAACGTCTGGGCACATTTGTGTGTTTTGTTGAGTGGCACCAAAAAGTTCCATGGCAGCAAAACTTGTACTCTCTCCTCTCTCTCTTCCCTGGAGTTTACAGAGTGGGCAGAAACCGCATGTATGTCTTCGAACAAAACCCAGAAACCGCCTCACCGTTAAAGCCTATAACGATGTGCTTTTCAGTGCTGCTAGTGCTACTCCTCTACTTCATCAAGAAAACCCTTCTTCTCTCTTCTCACTTGCAGCAGCAGCAGCAGATGCTGGTTATTCGTTGGCTAGCTACTACACTTCTCTAGGTCTCTTTGTCATCTCTGTTCCTGGTCTTTGGTCCCTTATTAAACGATCTGTTAAATCCAAGGTCATTACTATTTCTTTATTTCATTTGATTCTTTGTTTCTGTTGGGTTTGGCTTGTAATTGATGGTGAATTTTTGGATGCAGATTGTGCAGAAGACATTTGTTAAGCAAGGGATAGATGAGGGAAAGAAAGCTGCTAACCAGGTTGCTGGGGAAATTCTTTCCTTCTTCACTCGAAATAATTTCGCTGTGTTGGATAGAGGAGAGACTATAACGTTAGTAGTATCCCTTTTTATTTCTCTTACCTTATCCTCTTTTGCACAACTTTTATCTACGGAAAGGACTTATTAATATTATTAAATTGGCAGAAAATATTGTGAATTGGACAATTGCATCCTCCAGCGGTATTATTATCCTCATTCTTTAGGTGTAATGGATGTGAATAACTAGTGTTTGTCTTTGGCCTAAAATGGCTGCAAACTGTGTCATTGGCTGCATAAACTTGTCTTTTCTCATGTTTATTACTATTGAAATGTTATTTTCAGCTGAAAGTGAGATTTGTTTTCCAATCTTTGCATCTGAGCGCACTCTGTAACTTTTCTTTTTTACTTCTTTCCGGAAGCTTGTGCCTACTGATGACGTTTTGAAAACCATTCATCATCACCACTGTTATTTGATTATCTTCATGTAGGTGAGTGACACCGATGCTGTTTTCACCATATCATCTTCTGTTTGCCCGTAGGAGGCCTTTCTTCCAGAAAATTCAATCTAATGCTTCCGATTTACTAAAATGCTTTTTCTAGCAAGCAAAGAGGAGTTCATTCATATAAGTGTATTTATCATGCCTTGACATGTGAGAGTGTTTTTTTGCCTCAATAGGGTAAACTTTATTAATAACAAACACCTACATAGATTGTTTCAGCCTCTCTCTCTCTATTGATATATATTAGTATTAACTTTTGCATTCTGAAGGTTTGAGGGAATGATGGTTCCAAGCCGAGGACAAGCAGCATTGTTAACTTTCTGCACGTGTGTAAGCTTGGGAAGTGTTGCCCTAGTTCTTACTATAACAGTTCCAGATGTAGGCAATAATTGGTTCTGGATTATTGCCTTAAGTCCGTTAGCGTAAGTACTGCTAATAAAAGAAAAATCATCTGTCAACTCTGATTTTGAATTGCTGTTGACTGGAAACCATATTTAAATTGGGAGCAGGGGTGTATATTATTGGACTCGAGCATCCAGAAAGGAGCAGATCAAGGTGAAAATGATTGTAGCAGATGATGGAAGCTTGTCGGAAATTGTTGTTCAAGGTGATGACCAAGAAGTAGAGAAAATGCGGAAGGAGCTACAGCTGAGTGAAAAAGGCATGGTTTATGTTAAGGGCTTACTTGAAAGGTGATATAACTTGGTTTTCTTGTAAGATATATATGTCTGAAACTTACTCCTCCATGATGCTTGGTCAACAACATTCTTATGTTGTAACCTGGAAAGTTCTAAGAAGCTGTAAATTAATCGCACATGCATATATTAGTCAGAAGTTCTTGTGCAATAGGGGTGAATGTGTCTACAATTTGTTTGTTACTTTCTTACTACAACCGTCTATGACTTGATCTCCATTTTTACTTTAAAAAAACCCTAGTCACGAACCTTCTCTAAAATACATAATCTTAAGGAGAAAAGGCTGCAAAGAAAGGGGGAGAATGAAGTGCCCGTTTCATAATTAGTTTAAAAGATTGTATCTTTTGTCTGGCAGAAACACTGTACCAGGAAGGTATTTGTGGGATATTAAGATGAATGAGTTGTGTGCAAACAACTAAAGGTATACAATTGAGCAATGATGATAACATAACTCTCCCCAAGCCTCTAAAAATATGATAATCCATCATCACAACATTCTCCCGTTTGCTAGATGAGCTATATATCAGCTCCAGTAAATAGAAAATGCTAGGTTCTTTAGATGTGAACAAGGCAACCATCATCATCCAATATCAACTACAAATAGATTCCATACTTGGCCCATGTTACTGGCACTGCTACAACACACAGTTGATCCATATGGACAACTCTTTGCACTAGATAGGTTATATTTATTACTCTCTTAGACGTGCATCAATCAGTTTCAAACATCTGGCTTCTTTGGTGAATCCACAATTGAGTATTACATTCTACAAGTTTGGAGATCGGTTATAATAGAACTCATTTGTTACCATCTTCTTTTACTATCCAATCTGCTGGTCTATGATCTGATTCACTTCAGGGTACCTCATCAGTCAGGCAGGAAATAGCTAGATTATCAAGCATCCTATTCTTCTCTTAGATGTTGATGCTACTTCCTGGGAGCCTGTAGGGGTATTGACTATTAAGATCAAGATGGTTCAAACAAGATTATTGACAGTGAGTCTTCAAAGGAATTATGCTTATAATGTATAGAAATGACAAGCTATACTATACGTTTTGAACCCCCGTTTGGCACTTAGGCAGGGAAATCAGTTGGCTGGTCAGCAGGATGGTGAATGCTACTAGTCTTAGTAACGACTGCAGCATCATAGTAATGAAATTAAGCATGGACTTCATATTTGAACTGCTACAAATCTTTGTATTTCTCCCATGTTGCCTTCTCCCGTATTGCCCTTTCCATGGACATGAAATTGAGTTGTTGGGTACACCTGGGGACAAGAAACAGCAGTTGAAAGAAAAAGGGCTACTGTTCATGGACGTGAAGCTGATTGGGCAGCCTGCTTGGACATGGTTTTGAAGAGTGGGACAGGGATACACATCCTCAACACTGAAGTTGAGGCAAAGATATTTGGTCTTAGATACATTCTAAGAAACACTTGGTCGAAGGCAGTCAATGCCAACAACATTACCACCGCCATTGGAGTTGCTGGTGGAATATTGGAGTTTAACTAAGGTCCTCTGGCATGGACGAGCACAATGATAATGCTCAAATGTATGCTATACAAATCAGCGTACAAGCGATCGTCAATCATAAAGAACCCAATCAAATAGGTTGGGGTCGAATCCCCAAGGAGCGGTCTATGCTAGAATTCAATTAAGAAGTAACATTCGTAATCTAATCTTTTATAGAGTCATAGAATCAATATTTAACATAAATTTAAGTCTTATAGATTTCAAATTAAAAATTGAGGAGAAAATAGTCAAAAGTCCTTCAAACTATTGTCGGATTCCCAACTATGCACTCATACTTCATGGGGTCCTACTACACCCCCTCCCCCAAACCTTTTATTTTTGATATTTTGCAACCCTTAAACGCTATCTTTTTGTTATTAACCAGATATACACATATGTTTGTATACACACGCTTAGGTGGGTAGACATGTAGTTAGTTATGTTTGAAATTGAGAATTTTAACGTAATTAAAAGAGTAAACTAAGAAGAAAAAAAGTGGGGTCCACTGAATCTGAAATAAATAGGAAAATTGTTCTTAACAAGTAATTCTCATATAACCATAAATGGTTCTCCCTCATTCTCACTTTTTTTTTTAATTTCAAAAATCAACTTTTTAAAGAATCCCTTCCGCTTAGCTCATTCTATTTGGAGAAGTACCTATAGTCATGGTGACCCAAGAATGGGGTTTTTCAAGATTACTTGTTCCGACATTCAGATAATTTGAACAATGTATAATTCTTTTAAAAATAAATAAAATCTATCTTTGAATAAATAATTGGGTCTTAAAAATTAGCATTTTCTAAATCTTCAAGGGTCAGATGTAATGGTGGAGGAGAAAAGTATTTTCATGATTCTCCTTGTTGGAGGAAGAGGAAAATAATGGGTGTACATACATTGTGGTTCGATATTTATGAGTTGAAGAGGGAAATAATTTAATTTTGGGCATTGACATGGAGAAGAAATTTCAAGCTCCATAACAAGATTTTATTTACCTTGCAATTCTATATTTATGAGTGAGGAAAATAAATTTTGAACCTTAGATATGAAATCAAAAAAAATTAGAGGTTCAAGCTTTAAAATGGAAGTTACTATGAAAGCTTTGAAATGGAAGACACCTTGCAACTTAACGCCTTAATTTTAGGCCGATTTGGACTTGTATGTGGATTCCAAAATACTGATAATGTGTTTTAGAAACATCCTCACGTGCCTAAGGGAGGTGTATTCACCTTCTTTGACAGGTTAATGTTTTAAGGGCTACAAAATATCAAAAATAAAAAGTTAAGGGGGGTAAGAGGACCCCCGTGAAGTATTGATGTGTAGTTAAGAATTGACTAATAGGTTAAAGGGGCATTTGACTCTTTTCTCAACAATTGAGAGTTTGTTTTAACAAATTGTTAACAAGATCAAAGGAACAAAAGTAATTGGCAAGTAAGAGAATAATTCTAGGAGTGTGCACAATTGAGTATCGATTTTGATAATGGGTAAATATGATTGCTCAACAACATCAATTCCTAATGAGTAGGCTAGATCAATCAACAATACAATAAGCATTTGTCAATCGTAAATTGCTTATCATAAGAGCTTTTTCAAGCCTCACATGCATGCTATACGAACCAAACCAGTGTGTTAAAAGGCGGGGGCGTGAGGCGAGGCGTTTTACTTAGTATAGGGCGAGGCGTAGGCCTCGAGACGTGGGGTGTAAGCCCTATGGATCTTTAAATTTTAAATTTACAATATAGTATAATAATATAATAACACAAAATTATAAAAATACATCAATAGGTTGAGATAATTACAAAACATAATTAAGGAAACTCATAGAAAATAAAACTTCCAACATGATTATACTAGTATAAATAATCTAATATCTTAACTTTTTAATACTAAGAGAATCATTATTTCTAGTTTTTTAATTATACTATATAATTTACCCCCCTAAAAGAGAATAATCAATAAAACTTAGTACTATTATAATAAAAACATCACTCTATCATTAATAAAAATCAAATTGGTTTCAAATAGCTAAATAAAATGTGATAATTTTGAGACATATGACAAAACTATGAAGACGATAAGTGGAAAAGTAAAATTTTGCTATGTATTTTTTAAAAGAAATGTTACGTACTAAATAATTACCTGCACAATGTTACCAAATAGTAAAGATACGATACTATAACTTGTTATTTGAGTTACTCACAATCTTCTTATCTCTATAGATTAAAAAAATAATAAGTATCATTCAATTATTCAAAAATTACGAGGGTCAACAATGTTAACTAAAATTTTTAACACATAATTTGTGTAAGAACTATTAGGCAATCCCCGAGCGTTGGGTGTTCGACGTGCTTAGGGCGTACAATCGGGCATTTAGGGCGTAAGTCTTATAGAACTAAGTCCCACAGTTGAGTTTCGGGGGCATTTTGCTAGAGTCCCGCCCCAGGGTGATCCCCGAGGCGAGTCCCAATAGAGTTTTTTAAAACACTGAACCAAACTATAACCTCAATATAAATCCTATTTTCAAGCAGATCTAGGAATTGACATCAACACCTAAATTTCTTTTCCAAGCTAACTTAGCAATTAAATTCAATAAGCAATTATCAATCAAATCATCCATTCCATGCAATCCTTCTCAAGGAAACAAGAAGATATAAGCTATATTTGAGTTCGCAAACCCAAACCATAGATCAAAACACAACAATATGATTGAATACATTGAAATTAACATAAAATAGAGCAATACTCAAGAACCCAATATTCAATTCAACACCCAACTACATTGACACACACCTCTAGAACCAGGGTTTTAGCTACACAGTGAAACTAAAGAGTTATATCAAATGGATTGTTTTTCCATCAGTTTGATTGATTCCATCGTCAAATAAAAATTACCATAACAAAAACCCATGAAATTCAAGTACAAAAATAGCCAAAAACTCCAAAATCTTGGAAGGTTCTCAGTACTCTCTATTCGCGATGATAGAAGATGTTTTTTTCTCTCTACGAAGCAATTTATACTTCTCCAAAAGCTAGCAAGAAATGTACTCCAAGACTCATCCGGTGATACTAGTCGGACTCGCTGGAATCGTCAACTTCCTCGCTTTCGACTTCAATCTCAAAACTGTAGGTGTTGGACACTTTTGGCGAACCCGAATGAGTTCGCCTTCCATGATTGACGGTTCACTCATTTGCATTTATGCTCGCCAAGTTGTTAATCATTTTCTGCAGAACTTTCAGAATGTTTTGGCGATCAAATCAAACCTCACCGACTGATTTACCGAGTCATTGTTCTGCATCTTTCCTAGTCGACCTGCTTTGAACTTTTCGGCTGAAGTCTCAGTCATGTTTAACTAGGTCCAGCCCTGTTGTCGAGTCACCGTTAACACTTAGAGAGTTGCCTTTCTCACCTGACAAGACTCCACCTTGTATTTTTCTTTATTTTTCTATGTTTTTGGTTTCTTTTTGTGTACTGTTGTCCTTGCCTTGTGTCTTTAAGCTTTCATACATGCAATTCAACAATTTAGAGTAAGAAATGGACAAAAAAAGGCATTGAGGACACTTTTCGATGAACTAAAAAGCCTTAAATGAGTCCAAAATTTCCGACTCGTCAACACTCCCAACTTAAAATTTTGTTTCTCCTCAAG